CTGACATTATAGTAACTAACAAAAATATTTTTATTAGCACCAAATAGAATTATAAGCTAAATGATTATGTAGTATTGATAAGCATATCTTATTATTTGTTTCTGGCGTATATGTCTTTGATTATATCCATATCACTTGTACTCACTCTTATGCTATTTGAGGAGTTATCAATTTTAATGTCTTTTAAATTCATGTAATTAGCTTCTATGTTTTCGCAATTCTCAAATGCTATTATAGAATTCATTAATTCGATCAACTCAGATTCTGAAGCAGCTAACATGTTTATTGAGTTAATTGAGATAAATAAAAGATGTTGTGATTTAATGCTTTTATTTGTTTTGAAAGCATGCGGTATATAGTTGTATCGCATGTTAGAATATCTGCCGAACTGGCCAATAAAATCTAGGTGCGATAAATAATCGTATAGCACTTTACGTATTTTATTGTAAAACTTCCGAACATCATTAGCACAAAACAACTAGCATTAATTTTAGTACGCCAATTGTTAGTGCTTTTACTTTGGTAAAAATTTATAAAACAATTTGGATAATTTAGAAATTTTAAACCATCTAAAAACAAATCTTTTATTTTAGGGATAATTCGAAATCCAACTTTAGTGATGCTAGATACTTTTTGAAAAGCCTGTCAATGAAGTAACAAAGCGATTAATATTGCGAGATTAGATGACTATGAGATTATATATTCAAGTTGAAATTTGCATATGGTCTTGTAGTATATGTTGGATGCAGGTTAATATAATGATTGCATAAATGTAATTCGTGCATATAAGCCGATTTAAAGTTGCAAGGTCAGAGCAAAAATTGGGGCAAGGTTTTAGAAAAACTGCATATAAAATTTGAAACAAGTCGGGTCATTTAAGATCATTTGTTTGTGATCTGGTAATATAAATAGATAAGTAACTTGAATTTAAATTTGTATGGGTGGGTACAATCTTTATATAGAGAAGTTTGAGATAAAATCATAAGTTTAATTTAGGGTTTGTTTAACCCAATTTAACTTAATCTTAATACTACAGTACGTAGCTTATTTAGTAAAACTTTAATGTTTGTTAAGTATTTGTTGTATTATTAATTTGTTTTAATATATTTTATTAATAAAAACTTAAGTGCGATAAATAGTTGTATAGCACTCTGCGATGATTATATTTATTCTAATTAAAATATCTTAAATTTTTATTTTAGCTTAGAAATAGAGGAGCATATACTTAATAAAATTTTATATTATTGTAAAAAATATAAAAAAAAGACATTTTAGCAGCTATATTTGGCTGCTGGACAGTTTAAGGAATAGCTAGCTTGTTACTAAAAACTTTTTTTATTAATAAATTAAAAAAAAAAGCTAATTTAATTCTTTTAGATAAAACAGGATTAGGATCTTGTAGCCTAGTGGTCTAGGCATCTAACCCTCCACAAACAAGATTGACAGTTCGATTCTAGCTGATTTAATTAATTATCTCTATAACTTTTGGAAGCTTTTGAATGCAGAATTCTGTGAAAGTAAGACATGTAATGTACATATTTGGCCAATAAAGAATTCTTAGAAGAAGCTCCAAGCTATAGAGAAGACTGGGTACTGTGTGTGATATGGATTACAGAAGGCAATATTGCAGAAAGCTATGTATGAAAACTCGGAGAGGTGACCCTTAAGTAGTACCAACATCCGGTAACAGACTTGATTGGAAGGATAGCATGAAGTGGTATTTCCAAAAGTAGTGAGAGAAGCAGTGAATATAGTAAGGGCTGTGGTAAAAAAATGGCTTTACCAAATATAGAACACCTTTGGCATAAGGAAACAAGAAAACCGGCTAAAAGAAACTCTGAAAAGCATGAAAGCAAGCACTTTAGTATTACAAAAATAAAGATAACTAGTGAGTAATGTGTCACACAACCTATATGGAAGTCAATGATAACATATAACAGAAGCATGGGTCCCAGGTTACTAGCTTGTGACAGTAATTAAATAAGATACTTAACTCTCGTCCTAAAGATCTAGACTTCTGTAATACTATACCAATAGAGAGTATATAAAAAGGAGTAGTAGCCTAATTTGGTGGTGTATAATATAAATACTTGGATCGATGTAAAATAACTCTTCTAATGGCGACAAGTGGCTTGAAATACAGGTCTTATGACAACAGCAGCACCTGGTTTGAGATACAGATTATAACTTAAAGTAACTCCTCTAAAGACACCAAACTAGAAGTACGAAGAGCATCCACTCAAGAAATACCAATTTGAAAATAAAACAAAAAACAAATTAGGAGTAATGTGAGAGGTTGAAGTTGGTTGGTAGATGTTGTACAGTAGTATATAAGTGAGATATATATAATACAATAGGTTTGAAAACCATCTGGTGATCTAGTAACTAGTCTAAGTTGCAGAGTGGTTATTAAGGAAGTAAAATTTTATATAGCAGGCCACATATAGGTACTAATTTAGTAACCAGGTGAGCTAATACTTGTAATACATTAGAAGAGTTGTAATTGTACATGTAATAGTTGTAATCAAAATATCTTAATGTATTAATAAACAGTATTGGCAAGACTGCCGAATTAAAAAAAAAATTTCTTTTAAATAAATCTAAGAAAAAAAAAATTAAAAGTTTTTAACATTGATAAGCTGCAAGTTTCTAAAAAGACTTTTGTAGATTTTGGTAACCAGATTAATTTATTTGAAAAAGCTTGTATTGATTTCAAATCCCAAGTATCCTTTTTAGATTTATTATATGAAATTCTTTAAAGAAGAATTGATAAGTTAAAAAAAAATAATAAGCAATTATTAAGTAAAAATAAAGCATTAAAAAAAAAGCTAAGTAAAAGATTTACTAATCAAGAAAATTGTATTTTTTTATAATAGAGATTGTCAAAAAAGAATAAAGTAATTTGTATAAAGATATAATAAGTTTAATGAAGAATCAAAAGCAATTTTTATTATATAGTTTTTTAGAGTATTTTTGGCTTGCTAAGCAGAATCCAGTTATTATCAAGTTTATAGAAACTCTTATTTATATATAACAAAAATGAATATTAGTATAGAAAAAATATCAGAAAAAAATTTTTAGTGCGCAGATTTGTAAAAAAATTAAATAATATATTAAATGAAAATCTGTACAAAACTTCAAACTTATTAGCTATAGCTATAGAAATTAAATACAGTTCTATGCAAAATTTCAAAATATAGGAAATTTTGCAAAAAATTCTGCAAAAATCTGCATTTTCGCAGGTTTTTGCAAATTTGTACTTATTTAATTCTCCTGATGAAAGCTTTTCAAGTATACAGTAGCCATTAATACTAATATTGATCAATGTATTTAAAATATATATATTAGCTATTAATTTAGCTATTTTGGCAGTTAAATATTTATTAGCAAGATTAAAAATAATCATTAATATCGATAACTATATTATTAGCTTCAGTAGTTATACAAAGTTCATCAGCAAAATATATAAACATAATTTTATATAAGTTATTATGAACCAAAATCTTGTAAAAGAATTACACAATAATGCAGAATCTTTCGCAATTATTAATTACAAAATATTATAAAATATATATGTAATAAATTACACAGTGTTATGTAAATTAAATTGCAATAATTCAAAATAAATTGCAATTATGTAGAATAAACTGATGAAAGTAGTAACAGGAAAAACAAAACTTTTATATTAATTATATGAAAACTATAAATTAAACTATAGCAGCCTTATTTAGTATTGATCAAATATAATAGAATTATTTCAAAATATTTTGAAATAATTTAATTAATTCGCAAAATACTAAATTTATTTTACTAAATGAAATTTATTCAAATAAACAAAATCAATATTTTAGAATAACTTACTATTTTATTTTATTTAAAATAGGGAATTGCTATTCATATCCCTGTTTTTGCTATCCACTATACCCACCAGATATCAAAAAGTGCTTTAAAATAGATATTTTTATCAAGTAAACCCTTTTTTTGATCTTAATAAAAGTTGTTTATTGTACCTTTTCAGTTCTAATAGTAGTAAAATTATTAAAATCGAACTAGTAGTTTTCAAAATATATATATTCGAAGTTAGTTAATATTTATATTCTTTTTAAAAAAAACTATTAGTTCATTTTTAATAATTTTACTACTATTAGAACCAGAAAGGCCTGTTGAACAACTTTTATTAAAAACAAAAGAAGGGTTTACTTGATAAAAATATCTATTTTGCAATGCAAAATGAACTCTTCCTGACGATCACCTGGACCAAAATTTTTTGCTAAAGAAAAACCAAAACTACTTGTTGGAGAGTTGTGGCCTATATAGTGGTTTGTCTAGAGGTCAACTACTACTCTCGGGGACTCCTCTAAAAAAGGACATTCGGCATGCAAGCTAGGAGTGTTATTATACAAGATAACTGGCAGGCAGTGCCCTTGTATAAAAAATCTTGGTGGAGTATGGGTGGGGAGACCCAACTCCATTGACGAAGCTGTTTGGTCGTTACTTCAATGAAGAACACAAGAGAAACAACAAGAAGCTCTGCTCTTTCAACACATTCATTTAAAAATTTTGAAAGTATTTGCAACTCTCTCCTCGCATTTTTTCTTTCCGTCGGTTTTTTTTCAAAAATTTTTTCCTCAAAAGTGGGGATTTGGCTTACCCTCTTCAAAAGATCGACATTGTTTATATCCCAAATCTGGAAAGCCGAGTAGATTACAACCACTTGTTTGACAGATACGGTGCTACTAATTTGGATAGGTCCCAAGTTCTAAGTCGGAACTAAATATTCCAGAGTCGGTTGTATGGTCACGAAGCATTTTATTTTTATTTTTTTTTAATATTTGGGGTGTAGCTCCTGCCCCAGACTTTTATTAATACTTAAGTAAATTAACATATGATGGTGC